ATATAAATGAACTCAAGTGGGTTTGTAGGACAGTCAGGAAGTCAGCCTGACCACAACAGCTGAAATTGAAAGGAAAAGTACTAGAAATTTATTACATGATGGAAATTAAAGGATAGGAGTACCAAGACATGAGTAATCAATAAAGATAAATGCAAGAGAGAAGCCAAAGAGAATAAAGTAACAAAGGAAATTCCTGGATCTAAAAAGTATATTATGGATAGTATTCATGAGAAAAATTTCAGAAGAGAGGACTACTTGAAAAGAAGTTCATTTATTTGACCAGAGGAGTTGTCATAGTTACATTTATCACACATAATGATTCACTATTACAACCTAATCATCCAGTGGTTCCTCTGAATATAGTGTATCCTCTTTTTTTCTTTTTAAAAATAGCTTAATAATATATATCCTGTTACTTTTAGACACATCTTTTTGTAATTAAGATCACTTGAACAAAAATATATTTATTCTACTCTGACAATATCTTAAGTTTCACTTCAATTCCTTTAACTATAGCTTAATTCAAGTGAAAGTGAATTAAATACTTTTATATTACAAATAGAAAATATATTATGATCTATTTTTCTAAAATAGTTCTCATTCATATTTCTTTATCTAGATGGAATAGCTTTATTATTTCATCTAATTATATCAATAATATTTACACAACATAAAACTTTGAAAAGAGACACACAAATATAAAGAAAGTAAAAATCACCAGAATGGGAAAACTTTTATTAATATTATGGTGTCTATATCTTCATGCATTTCTTTAACTTTTTTCATTTATCTTTAATAGTGGCTTAATGTTGTCATGTATATGTCTCTTGTCATATGGATATTAAGTAACCATAAGGATTGGAAGAATCTGCCAAGGAATACTTCATGGATCTTTAAAGTAGCTTAAGTAATTATATAAACCATGCCTTTTCCATTTATGTAGACACCTTGTGAAAATATTTTTTCCAGAAGTTGATAAAGGAAACATACTTTCTGTTTGATAGTTTTGAATAGTTAAACACAGTGTATTAAATACAAAAGCTAAATCCATATCTCATAATAAACACAAAAGCTAAAAACTGCACAATAGATGCAGCTTTTATTAACTGTTTCTACTGATAAGGGAAAAGAAGTTGAAAACTGAGTAGGAAAGTTCAGTGGGAACCAACCATTATTAAAGATCTGCAACATGTCAGGAACTTTAACATCTCATTAATCTTCACAAAAATCCTCTTCCTTATGAGGAAATAAATAAAAGTTTATTTGATTAATATGAAAGTATACAACACAATCTGGTGCCCACAGGATGAATCTCAGCCAAAGATGTATTTTTAGAATATTTTAATTACTTGCCAAACTTAAAAACCAGAGGATTGAACACAGAAATACATATATCCACCTTCTCTTGGAAATCAAAAGATCTAGTAACACTGAGCATGGAAACAAGTGACTTCCAGTTTGGATGAGGCACAGACATCCAGATCACCAAGTCCCCATCCTGCCAATTTCTCATTTCAGTTTTGCTGGGTCATTGTAGGCTTTTAAGTTTGTGATCTGGCTTTGAGAAAATTATCCGGCTTTATATTTTTAGTAAGGCACAAGGTTAAAAATCAAAGCCAGGTCTGTTTCTCTCCGAAGGCCTTGCTCTCATTTATGGCTCTGGTTTAAGTTTTTTTGTGTATAAAGATGTTCATTGAGATTTTCCATAAATGATTCTGATTTGTCCCCTGCTTCAATTCCACTCCTGGGTATATATCCAAAAAAAACCAAAAACTCTAATTTGAAAAGATACATGCACCCCAATGTTCATAGCAGCATTATTTACAATAGCCAAGATATGGAAACAACCTAAGTGTCCATCAACAGATAAATGGATGTAGAAGATGTGGTATATATTTACAGTGGAATACTACTCAGCCATAAAAAGAAAAATGAAATTTTGCCATTTGCAGCAACATGGATGGATTTGGAGGGTATTATGCTAAGTGAAATAAGCCAGAGAAAGACAAATACTGTACAATATCACTTATATGTGGAATCTAAAAAATACAACACACTAGTGAATATAACAAAAAAGAAGCAGACTCACAGATACAGGGAATAAACTAGTGGTTACCAGTAAGGAGAGGGAAGTAGGGAAGGACAATATAGGGGTAGGTGATTAAGAGGTACAAACTATTATGCATAAAATAATACAAGAAAATATTGTACAACACGGGGAATATAGCCAATATTTTATAATAATTATAAATGGAGCATAACCTTTAAAAATTGTGAATCACTATGTTGTACACCTGTTAACATATAATATTGTACATCAGCTATACTTCAATTAAAAAAGAGGAAAAAAGCTTTTTTAGAATTCTAGCTTTAGAAATTTTTCTTAAAATCATTAAGCCTTCCTTTTATTTTAGATTATTCAATTTGTATGAATACATACATCTTCTTAAAAAAAAAAAAGAAACACTACTGTAAGCAACATATTCCTGAACACCAAAGTTTTATCATAACCATTTTTAGCTCAGTTATTTACTTTTCCCATATATTGTCAGAATAAAATTTTGACTCAAGTCAAAATAAAATTGGAGAATCATAAGTTAATATCAATATTGTTCTACCTCATTTAGGTATACCTTGTAATTCTATGAAATGCACAGGTAATGTTTCAGGTAAATTAAAAACTTTAATTTCAGTGAAAGCTGTAAATGATCCACTTTGCATACAGATTCCCCTCATGTATCAGTATAATAAACCAAATCTTTATAGTGTTTAAACTTTTTATTAAAACTAACTTAGTTTGCCATGTCATCTCCAAGCACCTTTATGATTTAAGAGAACTTCCAACAGTACCCACACTTAACATCTAAATATTACTGACATAATGGAGAAATATTTCAATATGCATACATTCAACATTGAGCATTATAGATGTAAGTGCAAAGAGTAGATTTTCAGACAATCATGGGTAGAGAGATAGGCTCTTCAGCTTAAAGAGAGTATCCTTGTCAAGATAAGCAGTTTAAATAAATTTATCCCAAATAACCTGGAAACTCCTACATTATCATTGAGGCACTTTGAAAGAGCTGGTCCCATAGTGAGCCACAACAGTTTTTACAAATACTTCTACAAAGTTGGTTTGGCTACTATTTAAATACAGGTGAACCAAGAAAACTAATGAAAATTACTTTGGTTGGCCTTAATTCTACTATAGCCTCTAAGAGCACTCTGCTTTTAAAACAAGTCCCGGATGGCTGGCTTTCTCAGGTTTATGCTGGCAAACATATATCTTCTTGTACTTAAATAAATTAAAGTCATATTACTACTAGGAAAAGCTACTAGTTTACAAAAGAAATGAAATATATCAAATAACATTTTCATCTGGAATAATCATAAAATACTACGGCTGACCTTACAAAGAGGCAGACCTCACAATGTTGAAATATTGTTGAAATAGGCACTAAGTAGTAACATTGACCTCTCAAATATGTTTTAGAAAAATCAAAGAATAGAGGTTCAAGTAAAAAAAATTTCCATAGTAAAATCAGTTTAATGAATTGTAAATTATTTTAGAAAGCCACGTAAGCCCAGAATACTCTAATATGCTACATCATAAAGCTATACTTCAAATGTTTTCCATGTATGTTTTCAACAATATATCATTAGTTTCATTTAAAACAGTTAAAATATATACAGATTTTTAAATTTTAAAAATATTTTGAGGAAAAATCTCAATATCAATTAGAGTAAAATTTAAACTTTAAATCTTTCTGAATGTTCTGTAGTTCCAGGATTATGACTATCTTGATAAAGTAGAAGCCTCTTTCAACTTCTTGTATTTTTATTTCCTGTAGGTAGCCTTTAGCCTCTGTTTTCCTTAACAGAGTCTACCTATAGTAACCACAAATTATGTGGAAACAATGACCTAATAGCATATACCAAAATATTTTCTTCATGAAACTTTTATATAAAATCAATCAGTGTTCAGAAAAGGAGATTAAAAGGTAATTTGTTTACAACCTTTATTTTTAGATGACATTTAAAATCTTTTTCTAGCAATCCAATTGAAAACATTTATATAATTGAGTAGCTGGAATTACATGTCTTCTGAGTTTCTTTCACCCCAGTATTGTGAATAAGATAGATTTAAACTGCTTTATTTGGTATACTTAACTTTCTTATATATCTATATCTAATCATTAATAAACTTCTCTATTTTACCTATTAAAAGGCTCTAAAAATAAAATTGCTTCTATGACATAATTTCCATTTTAAAAAAACAACTTAGCAAAATATAAAACAAATGTATTTACTGAAAATCCCTTTAAACAACAAATAATGTATCTTTCTGTTTTCAGTTAATGATAAAAGATAACACTTCTAATTTCTTCCTTCTACTCATAAATAGTTGATGCTCATTCATGGATGAATTATAGAGAAGGAAATGCCAACATCTTTCTCCTTCAAGGACTGAAATCTTAATTCTTTGGGTAATAACGTGGTGGTACCAGTGATGTTGAAAACATAATACCAATAAATTCCAGCTCCCAGATAGTCATAACAATAAATCAGAAACTATTTTAAGGGTACTGGAAGCTTGGGTACCTCACAAATTATTCAAATGCCATAGTCAGATCTGATAATGTATGTCATAAACATTAAGTGCAAAAATTCTTGGACCAATGAACTATTATAATTTATTTTGTAGGCTACAGAGTACTGAATGAATAAACATAAGAGAAGTTCAAAAACTGGTCACAGTCTTAGATCACAATATGAAAAAAGGATCGAAAGGATCTCTTTGAAATTTCCTAATAAGTAAAGGAAGAAATGAATGTCCCATTAATGGCTAAATCATTACAATATATCTGTAATAAATATGAGAATCTGGAAAACATGCATGGCTGTTTAGCAATAATTTTGTCTAGAATATTTGAAAGTGTGTGACCCTGACTTGGCACACACAAGAATGTAATGGCTTTTGTTTTCATTTTCTTTTTCAGGTAGAATCCAAAGATAGTCTGAGAGCAATCAAAGGTTGTGGTGAGGAACATGGATGTTGAAATGGTGGAAACATGGGTATGACAGCCGATTCTGCCCCTCACTAGCTCTGTAATTTGCGTAAGTTAATCAGCCTTACTAGATATGGTTCAGTTGAAGTAACACGAAATCATTTGATAATTATTGAACATCCATTTGTACTCGGCACCATTCTAGGTGCTAGAAATTCAGCAATGAACAAGACAGACAAGATCTATGATATCATGGGGCTTAAATTACAGTTGTCAGGGCAGGGAAAACAATAACAAGAAAGCAACTAAGATAATTTTATATATTTATATGATAGGTAGTAAGAAATAAAAGTAAATGATGTGTTAAGGAGAGCCTGGGACACTCTTCAGATGAGATATTGTGGAAGCTTCTCTGAGGAGGAGATTTTTGAGGCGAAACCAGAGGAAAATCCTCCTGTGTGACAATCAGGAGGCAGAATGTTCCAAACTGAGGAAATATGCATTTCATTAGAAATCTATGAGGATTATAAAAATGATTGTACAAAGGGCTTAACATAGTAGCTGATACATAGAAAATATTCTACAATCAGTAACTCTAATCAAAAGGAAAATATTTGCTTATCAATGATCTCTATAACACATATAATTTCTATATGGAATATCTTTGAACATAAAAATCACATAGTATATAATTTACATCCTTCTGCTCATCTCTTTGAGATGGATTATTAAGAACTGAACAATATATAATATTGATGGCATTCTTGAAATTCTGGCTATTAATCCCAGAAAACAATATATGGGTAAAAAACCCATATGACTAGAAAGGCAAAGATTGAAGAGGCAAAGAGAAAAATAAATATCATGGAAAGGAAAAGGAAAAAAAGAGGAAATGGTTCTAGATCAGGAGAGAAATAAGGAAGAGGATTTTAGGAATTGCGGTCAAAAGAGGATCCATGAGGCAGAGTCCAGTCCATGTTTATCCACTAACTCACTCTATGTGAAAAGAAGGAAGAAAAGTAAAAGGCGTGTGTTTGTGTACGTGACTGTAGCCTAATATGGCCAGATATCTTTAGTATATTATCTGATTTATCACTTACAACAGTCTTATTTGAACTACTTGTACTCCATTTAACAACTGAGCTTACATATTTAAAGGACCTTAGAAAACTCATTTTCCTAACATGTATAACTAGAATTGATTAGATGATCTCAAATCTTCCCATATAGTTCTAAAAGTCCATGATTCTGATAATAGGAAAAGAAAAGTATCTATGTATAAAGATGATGAATATAAAGGTTCTAAAAAATAGTTGGTCATATGACCTGTCAATCTTTATAAAGACAGGCTTCAAGAATATTTAACTAGGAACTGCATTCCTAAAAACATGAAATTCAGTCTCTTGGGAGATGGGTGAAAAATGAAATATTCAGACAGGGAAGACCTGGAAAGAGGCCGTAGGAGATTTGGGGGGAAATCTGAATAGCTATCCAAACTAATCAAGTTTTATCCAAACCAAATATCCAGGCCTTTTGAAGTTTGCCAGTTACTAATCAAAAACCCAGTAAGCGCTTAGTATCTCAGTTTTAAATAACATCAAACCAACTATCATGTAATATAACAAATAAAGCCAAATATGGATTTTCTCTTAGAGCTGCACAGACACACAAAAATTTGTCTGAAGTAGCTCTAGTCAAGTAAGAGTTTAAGATAATTTTAATTACTCTTATGTTATTGTACTCTTGAAAACATCCCAGTGATTTTTTAAAGGGTTAAGAAAACCAGCTTTCCATAAAAACTGAATTATTAATGATAACTATCTGGAAAATTAATAGTTAAGACTTTGAAAGTATTGTTTAACACTCTATTGCAAACAATATAAAAATAAATTAAGGTTTACTAATGATGAAATGAAAGTCTCAATTGTCCAAGATTCTTATGTCTTGTAGGGCTAGGTAGACAAATTTTGAACCTGAAGTAAATTAATAGTACTGCTTTGATCTTAATGCATTTTATTCTCTCAAAATTATAATATTTTGTCAGAAGCTGTGATATCAATCAGCATTCTGCAACTATGGTGTAAATCAGCTGTTGGCCAACTTTCTTGAAAAAATCTTCAAAATATCCACAAAATTATGGAAGTATTACAAGATAATCTTAACATCTTTTATTGATTTAATTTGACATGAAATAAATATATTACCACAATATGCTACTACTATCATTTTTTCCACTTTCAGTCGACTCATTTCTTTTCCTTGAAGCAAAATTAATGAAATGTCAGAGTGGAAAAACATTCAGTTCTGCTGAAGGAAAAAAATTAATCTTACTGAAACACACATGTTCTCTTTTCCCCAATGCAAGTTCCATATGTACATTATGTTAAAATGAGAAAAAAAATAAAAATCTGTACATGTGTCTGTGTAAACTTATCTAGAAAGGCAAAGGGAAAAGCATTGGGAATTCTGAGAAGATGGTGACTGTGCCTTTATAAGAGGCACCTGCCAGAGCATGGAAGATGGCAAAACTGAAATGATACTTCTAAGAAGCCTCTCAGTCACTTGCTATTATATTTTGCTATTTGATTTCTCTACACTGTATTTATCTTATATTTTCTTGTATATTAAGTGATTACTTATTGTTGGTTGTTTGATAATCTGTCAGCCTCCACCAGAATATAAAGTTCATGACAGCAAACACCTTAACTCTCTTGTTCACCATGTACCCTCAATGGTGAGAATATAATTCACCTTTAATTTGGCAATGAATGAATGCATTATACCAACAAATTTGACAGCCATGAAACTTCAAATATGTAAGAGGGAAAAAAGAATTAACTAAAACTTGATCAAACCAGAAAATTTTTAAGTAAACAAAAATAAAATAACAGCAAAAATAAAATGAGATAGAAGAAATATAAGCAAGCCTTTCAACCATTTCAATAAATAGTAAAAGGTTGCTTTCTCCTACCAAAAGACAGATAACCAAACTGTTTTATTTTTAAAGCAGCTCTTTGTTGTTTTTGAAAACTACATCCAAATCAGTGACAATGGACTATCAAAACTAAAAAAGGGGTAAATGCAAACAGATTTAAAAGATTAGATATTTAATATTTATATTCATAATTAATTAATATTGGATAAAGTAAAATTTAAAGCTAATGACATAGAAATAGAAAAGGGGGACATTGTAACATATTGGCAAAGGATATAATTCATCAAAAAGATAAAATGGTAATACTTTTTAAGCAACAAGAAGCATGAAAATTTAAAAAAATTAAGAACTGGGATAAAAAGATTAACTTGATTAAAATATAATTATAGGAAAATATTATATCTTTTCCAGAATTTTACAGAGTGAGCAGTTAAAATATCAAGAATGTTAATTATTTAATTAATTCAATTAACTGCTTGAATATATAAGTATATATAAAATAGTACATTAAAAACAGAGAACATATATTCTTATGTTCATAGAAAAATATACATCAATTTTACATAACATTTTAAAAATTCTAAAAGTTTTAAAAAGGATATATTTCATAGGTCTCATTCTTTAAATATAATCCAATAAGAGCTTATATTAAAGGATAAAAATTTTATAAATTAAAAATTTTTTTTTAAAAATGGTTCTGAAGAACCTAGGGGCAGGACAGGAATAAAGACGCAGATGTAGAGATGGACTTGAGGACACGGGGAGAGGGAAGGGTAAGCTGGGACGAAGTGAGAGAGTGGCACGGGCATATATTTGGTAGTGACCAAATGTAAAATAGATAGCTAGTGGGAAGGAGCCACATAGCACAGGTAGATCAGCTCAGTGCTTTGTGACCACCTAGAGGGGTGGGATAGGGAGGGTGGGAGGGAGACTCAAGAGGGAGGAGATATGGGGATATATGTACATGTATAGCTGATTCACTTTGTTATAAAGCAGAAACTAACACACCATTGTAAAGCAATTATCCTCCAATAAAGATGTTAAAAAATTTTTTTAATTTTAAAAATTAAAAATTTTCAATAATCCAAGAGAAAAACAAATTATAAATTATTTCAGAAGTACTTAGAAACATTACTCTAGTTCATATGGCACAACTAAAATAAGACTCAGATGATAGCTGAATAGCCTTTATTATCAAATAAAAACAACTTAATGTGAAATAAATATTCACTGACAAACAGTTAAAAAAATTATAATAAACCAAAACAAGAAAAATGGCATCAATAAAAAGAATGTTGAAATTATTGAAAAAGAAAAGACACAAGTAGAAGGATGAACATAAGAAACTGACTTAAGAAAAATAAGAAAATCTGGCCAAACTAATAATCACAGAGGATTTTAGAAATATAAAATCTTTTTACCAATTCAAATAGTTTTCATGGCTGTATTGTATATCACCTTAAAGAACAAATACTTCATATTTATTAAACTACTCTGAATTATAGAAAAAGAAAATTCCTCTAGTCTATTTTACTAGGTAGCAAACCTTGATTCTAAAATCCAATAAAAGATAATCCAAAAGGAAAGGAGAGAAGAAGTGAAAAAGGAAGAGAGAGTGGGAGGGACCAAGGAATGCAGAAAGGAAGGGTAGGGGGTACTGGCATAAAAATAGATATATTGATTTATTGAAAAACTACCATACTGTTACCAAAGGACTTCACCATTTAACATTCCTACCAACAACGCATGAGGCTTCCGATTTTTCCACATCTGTATCAACACCTGTTATTTTCCATTTTCTATTATAACCATCTGAACAAATGCAGAGTGGTATCTTGTTGTGGTTTTGATATGCATTTAACTAATGACTAATGATTTTGAACATTTTTATGTACTTATGGACATTTTTGTATCTCTTTTGGAGAAAAATATTTCTCACATTTTAAAAATAAATTACATTTCTCTGTTTCATTGAGTTGTAAGAATTCTTTCTATATCATGAATACTAGTTCCAAATGATAAAGCTCAATTTATCTACTTTTTTGTCATTGCTTGTGCTTTTGATATCATATCTAAAAAACTTTTGCCTAATCCAAGGTCACAAATATTTTTGCCTCTGTTTTCTTCTAAGAGTTTCATCATTTTAGCTCTTACATTTAGGTCTATGAAGCACA